CCCCATTAATCCCCCCATTACCCCGCCCGCCCACCCCCTCCCACGCTAATGAAGTAGACCCACTTGATATTAAGTTATTACGCGCATTCCCCCAAGTGGCTGAGAGCATTTAAAAGCAGTTTAGTCTAATGGTTGTTAATTGAGGTCATTTACAACTCCGAAGAACAAGCCAAGACGTCAAGGATTTTGATAAATGGCCGCTTTTGGGGGGAACTCGTTAACGGAGGGTCGTGGTTGCTTCGTTCCGTTCCGTTTCGGAGCTCCGGAACGCGACACGGGGCGAAATTGGGGGAACCAAAAAAAGAAAAAAAAAGAAAACTTGGAGAAAAATAGAAGACAAAAAAAGAAAAGAAAAATCTTGGAGAATGGAAAATCAGAAAAGAATCTTGGAGAAATGGAAACAAAAAAAAAGAAGAAAAACTTGGAGAAAAAAACAAAAAGAGAAAATGATAAAAGAAAAATAAAACTTGGAGAGATAGAAAAAAAGAGAAGAGAAAAAAAATGAAACTTGGAGACAGAAAAAAAAAGGGAAAAAGAAAAGATAAATTCAGTAGCAGGAGTTTTGTCTTTTTTTCTATTTCTCCTTTTCTTATTGTTATTGCTGTTATTCCGGAATGCAAGACGTGGCGAAATGGAAAAAAAGTAAAACTTGGCGAAACGGAAGAAAAAGGAAAAGAATAAAAAAAGGTAGAAAAGGTTCAGTTACAGGAGTATTTTTCTTCTTTTCTGTTTCTGCTTTGTTATTGTTATTTTTATTTATTCTGGAACGCGAATCTTGGCGAAATAGAAACAAAAAGAAAAGAAAAAAAAAGCGAAATAAAATAAAAAAAGAGAATCAGTTTCAGGATTTTTTTTTTTATTTTTTTTATTATGTTTTTTTTTAATGTTATTGTTGTTACTCCGGAACGCGAATCTTGGCGAAATAGAACAAAAGAAAAGAATTTTAAAAAAGGGAAGAAAAAAAGTTCCTTTCAGGAGTATTCTGTTTGTTTGTTTTTTTCTATTTCTGTTATTGTATTGTGTTATTTTCCGGAACGTGAAACTTGGCGAAATAAAGATATAAATAATAATAATAAAAATAAGTTCAGTTTCAGTTTTGTTTTCTTCTTTTCTTTTCTTTTCTATTTCTTCTTTTGTTATTGTTATTGTTGTTTATCATCTTTTTGAGCGTTGATTCTTGTGGTGAAATAAGCTTTTGAAACACACGAAACTTGGCAAAAATAGAGAAAAAAAGTTTGGGTTTTTAGCTTCAAGACTTTTTTTTTTTTTTTTTTTTTTTTTTTTTTTGGGGGGGGTAGGGGGAGAATTTTTATTTTATGTTGCAAAAGAAACGTTTCAAAGTCGAAACTTAACGGGAAAAAAAATGATTTTTCAGTTTCAATTTCAGGAAGCCTTTTTTGTGTGTTTACTGATTATTGATATAGTAGTAAAAGATGAAATAAAAATAGATAAAAATTAAAGATAGAAAGAAAATGAAAGTGAACACCGTTATTGTTATATTATGTTCATGGAAATAGAAATCTGTCACGTGAACATCTAATTATCTTTTTTTTTTCTTTTTTCTTGTTTGTTTGTTTGTTTGTCTGCTCTACGGTTGTTCATAAATTGCATAATGATAATAATAATAAAGATAGAATGAGTATGGCGATGGTCATGATGATTTTGATAATGGCGATGTAAAAATACTGATAATAATATTATTATCATCATTATTATTATAGCTATAAATAATAAACTATGTTATTATGAATATCATTATTATCATTATCATTATTATCACTATTACTATTTTTATCATCATTATTATCATCAATAATAATAATCTTTATAATCATTATCAATAATAATGATAACAATAATAATAAAGAGAAGAAAAGGACCAACACCAACTATATATAGAACAATATATATTAAAAAAATAATTAATTCTGCAATCCCATATGTTGTAAATAAATATTCATTCTTCCTGCACATTTTTTTTTTTTTTTTTTTTTTTTTTTTTTGCATAGGAAGAAAAGGTTACTCCGATCAATTACTTTCACCCAATCAATCTCACAAAGACGGGTAGCATTTTAAGATAATCAGAAAATAATCAATATGTGCTCTTAATCTGCAGAGGTAGATTCTTGATTCTGTTTGATGCTTATGTGTAATTTGTTGTTCCACTTTTTTCTTTCTTTCTTTTCTTTCTTTCCTCTCTCTTCGCTTTTTAATGTTTATTGATGAAATGATTTTTTTCTAATCTTTCATTTACATTTTATCTGTCTTTTTTTTCTTTTTTTTTTTCTTTTCCTCTCTCTCGTCCTTTTTTAGTGTTTATTGATGAAATGATTTTTTCTAATCTCTTTATTTACATTTTCTCGGTCTCTATTCTCTTTCTCTTTCTCTGTCTGTCTCTCTCTCGTCTCTCTTTTCATCTCCTCTCTCTCTCTCTTTCTTCCTTTCTTCTCTCTCTCTCTCTCTCTCTCTCTCTCTCTCTCTCTCTCTCTCTCTCTCTCTCTCTCTCTCTCTCTCTCTCTCTCTCTCTCTCTCTTCCCTCTTTCTCTCTCGCTCTTCTTCCCTTCTCTCTCTCCCTCCCTCTCTCCTCCCTCTCCCTCTCTCTCTCTCTCTCTCTCTCTCTCTCTCTCCCTCATCTCTCCTCTCATCCTCTCTCTCCCTCCTCTCTCTCTCTCTCTCTCTCTTCTCTCTCCCTCTCCTCTCTCCTCTCCCACTCCCTCATCCCTCTTCTCCTCTCCTCTCCGCTCTCTCTCTCTCCTCTCTCTCATCTCTCTCTCTTTCCTCTACCCGCATTCTCTTCCTCTCTGCCCTCCTCTCTCCTCTCCTCTCCCTCTCCCTCTCCCTCTCTCTCTCTCTCTCTCTCTCTCTCTCTCTCTCTCATTCCTCTCCCTCTCCCTCTCCCTTCTCCCTCTCTCCTCCTCTCCTCTCTCTTCTCTCTCTCTCTCTCTCTCTCTCTCTCTCTCTCTCTCTCTCTCGTCTCTCTCTCTCTCTCTCTCCTCTCCCTCTCCCTCTCCCTCTCCCTCTCTTCTCCCTCTCCCTTCCCTCCTCCCTCCTCTCTCCTCTCCCTATCCTCCCCCTATCCTCTCTCTCCCTATCATCTCCCACCTCTCCTTCTCTCTCTCCCTCTCTCCCTCTCCTCTCCTTCTCCTTCTCTCTCCTATCCTCTCTCCCTATCCACCTGCCCCGACGCGTCCATTCTTCCGCTCCGCGTCCACGGAGAATCGGAGCCTCGTCCATAGAGATGCAAATGGACGTGGCGCTTCGAAGGGGTCGTTGAACCGTGGCGTCCGAAGCTTCTGAACTGCGCCCGAACGATCCGAACCGCTGTGGCGACGACGGAGACGGTGTTGTGCGAATATATGAATTATTGCCGCG